ACCGTCCGCAAGGGAATTCTGTTCTCGAACGTATCCACAGCATTGTCCACAATATGCTTGCCATGTATAGCAACCTGGCTTGTGATAATTGGTCAGAACTGTTGCCTTTTGTCCAGCTTGCACACAACATAGCCTATTCCAAGACATTGGAGGAAACACCCCATTATCTCGTCTTTGGCCGTGCCCCTACCCTGCCTGTCGAACTTATTCTCGGAGTTCCCGCTACCGATGCTCCGCAGAGTCGTCTTGACTACTCGCGTCGCACCGTAGAGAATCTGCAACTCGCTTACGAGTTGGCCCGGCGCAATCTCAAAGAACGCACGGGCAAGCAAGCTGTCGACAACGAGAAATTGTCCTTCCCTAGTTTCAAAATGGGCGACCAGGTTTTGCTCCACCGCCCATACAACGAAACTGATGGCCCCAACCCCAAGCTCTTTAGTCCTTGGCACGGGCCATATACCGTGTTTCAAAAGCCAACGACCCCGCAGAAGTCACCGTCCACTTGGGTCGAATGAAACCATTTGTCCAACCTACGTCGTCCCCGGTCCCCGATTTTGAGGCCCTAGACGACATGTTCCTCGGAAGAGCCCTTCCTATCCCTGATCTTGATGGCTCTATGCACACCGTCACGATCGGCCCGTATGTCGTCGAAGCCATCGACGGTCATAAACGGGGGGTGGGCAAAGCGTCGGTGGATAATTTCCAATACCACCTCAAACTGCAAGGCCAGCCTCCACAGTGTGGAGTTTGGCGTCACTACAGCACCCTCCCACAATGTCGGGAAATGATCGATTCCTATCGAGCTGTAGTCATGTCTGAACATCCCTCGGCATTCGACCCGCCACGCAAGAAGTCACGGCGCTGTTCGTCTCGCCGTCGGAACACGTAAGGGCAGTTGTGTCGCGTGTTATCTGTTGTGTCCAGTGTATGTCTGCCTCGGTTTTTGCAACGACCGAAGCCCGGCGCCCGCGTGTCTGTCAGTATGTACTGTAGCCGGCAGTATTTTTCGTGGCTACTTTTGTACGCCTCTTTCATGGCTGTCTGTCTTCTGTCGTATGTATTTATTGGTGTTCCGNCCTATCGAGCTGTAGTCATGTCTGAACATCCCTCGGCATTCGACCCGCCACGCACGAAGTAACGGCGTCGTTCGTCTCGCCGTCGGAACACGTAAGGGCAGTTGTGTCGCGTGTTATCTGTTGTGTCCAGTGTATGTCTGCCTCGGTTTTTGCAACGACCGAAGCCCGGCGCCCGCGTGTCTGTCAGTATGTACTGTAGCCGGCAGTATTTTTCGTGGCTACTTTTGTACGCCTCTTTCATGGCTGTCTGTCTTCTGTCGTATGTATTTATTGGTGTTCCGTTGCGTTGATCGTGCGTCGTACCGCGCACACGCACCTCGGGGCTGTCCTTTTTCTAACAGGCACGCCCTACGATCGTGTATGCACGTCTTTAGGCTGGGAACCTTGTCGTGTTTCCAGGAGTTAGCGTCGTGTGTCCATGGATCATCGTGGTTTGGTTTTTTCTGTCCCTAGGTGTATCGTGTCTGGTCCTTCCCACTCGTTGAGTAGTACACGAGATTTTGACTACTTGTGGCGTTTTGAGAGTGGCAGTGACTTTCCGCCACAGGGGGGTTGATTTCACGGACGATTCTTCGAGAAGAGTGATAATCATACACGACGAACGCCGTATCTTTCCACGGCTTTCATGGGTACCACACNTTGAGAGTGGCAGTGACTTTCCGCCACAGGGGGGTTGATTTCACGGACGATTCTTCGAGAAGAGTGATAATCATACACGACGAACACCGTATCTTTCCACGGCTTTCATGGGTACCACACGCCCTCGTCTCTCCTCGCTGTAATGCCCTCCAGAGGGTCGGTTGAAGGATTCGAGACATGGTTGTCGCCGTGTGCATTTTCTCTGGCGCGGGTTGGGTTTCCAATCCCCAGAAAAGCGACTGACTCTCTTGTTCCATACATGACCTGTGTTGGAAACTGTGCAGTTATCCAACTTGTCAGCCATGGCTTTCTCTGTCTTTTGTCTGTCCGTGCTCCTGGCTCACATCAATACTGTCTGGCCACGATGCGTCCACGTTGCTTTAGCACACCCAGGATCTCCAATATTACGATCGATCACTCTGTCCACCGCACAGCGTCATTTCGCCGCATGCGCCCTCGAACTAATTGTTGTCCTGCAGGCCACAGCATCTTTCTGCTGTGTTCAAATAGTACACCTTTCTACGCTCTCTGTCCCACTCTCCTGTCGATCCTGGCAAATTATTGTTCACGTGTCTCTCACCGCATGACACACCAATCAGTGTTCTCTTGTCCGAGCATTACACGCTCGCCCTGTGCTGTCATTGTTCTGTCCTTCATATTCACCCGCATCGTCCTCTAGAATGATCCCGCACAATTTTTGCGTTCGAGCGTTCCAAGAAATGGGGGGTAGTATCCTCTCAGTCGCTTCGTCCCTCATTACTGCTCGAGTTTTGTTGGAGGGAGCGCTACCACCAACAAAACTGGGGGGTGATGTGAGTGACTCTTGTCCGTTGGGACCTACACACTACGCGGTAGAACTTTTCGTCCTCGCTGCACACTTTTGCATCGCATCGGTTTGTATGCACGAGAGAGAGATAGGCCGCACGCCATCTCGTGCGGCCTATTTCGTCCCCGCTACGGCGCTGTCTTCCTGGCTGCTGGCCTACGTCAGCCTGCCAGCTCAGCGTGCCAGCTCAGCGTGCCCGCTCAGTCCCCGCCACGTCGGCTTATTCGATGGCGGTGCCCTCGCTCTGCTCGCACCCCTCTGTCACTTCTATCCTTGTCCCTTCGGCTCTCACCCGAGATCCAACTCTGTCAACCTTTGTCTGTTCGGTGTTTTCTACGCATCGTCCATACCCACGACCGTTGCTCACGGAGGCCTCTTGTACCTTACAAAAGTCGAGGATTCACACCCTCCTGCGGTGCTTGTCTGAGAGCCAACCTACAATAATATAAATAATAATATATATAATAATACGGTACTGGTAGGCCAAGATACTTTTCTGGAAAAGATTGCTTCAACACCGTGCACTCGAACTTTCCACGTAGTACGCAAATAGAGTACGCAAGCACTAGTGATTACTTGCGCTGACGTACGCCAAAACGCAGAACTTCAACAACTTTCACCTGTTTCCAAATTCGGCTGCTGAGCGCACACTGATATTCGTTATTAATTCAAGCACGCACGTCTGAGTTACTTGGGGCGGCACATATGTATGCATAGTCTATATCCTTTCACGCACACGAGTTGGAGATACTTGCGAACTACAGTAGACGATGCATATATTTTCCAGCACGCGTAAGCCTGAGCTACTTGCACTCAATCACACTGGTCTAGACTAGATAGAACTGCGCATCTCTGGATATGAAACAAGAAAGAGCATCAAGGATGATTTTTCCATGTTTCGAGTATGACAGCCCACACATCACATGGAGCACACGGAATTTTTCCTACGACATGACATAGCGACATTGACAATATTTGAACTGGTCAATTCAAGCTGACTACTACTTAATGCTTAAGCTACGTGCGAAGTATTCCAACAGTTCGCGCTCTAAACAGATCTATCTGTGAGTAACAACATATTCGCCTGATTGAGAGCGAAGTATCTGATTGAGAGCGAGAGCCAAAAAAATTGAAATTTCGGGTCCAGACGCCTCTTGCCATTTCTTGGCAAGTAGGGGACGGGCTATTCCAAGAAGCGGTGCAAATTGAAGGTCTCATCAGCAGCTTCGCGAGCATATGCGTGTCATCGTCATCGGATGCTGCAGCGAGGAGCTAGACAAGTTGCTAGATTTGCCCAGATTGGCTATTTCTGCTCAAACTGTTTCAGGGCGGTATCGCGTCGGGCGGTGGGCTCTGCTGTAGCTTCTGCTCCCCGCTGTAGCTCCACAACGAGAGACTCCCACAGGATGACCAGGGTAGCGGCTTGAAGCTACGGGCTAGCCCTTCAATTCAAGCTACACAGCAAGCTCCACCTCTCAGTGGTAGTCCGGCTACAGCGTATCGCGCACTCTCGCTCTCAATCAGATGCTACGCTCTCAATCAGGCGAATATGTTGTTGAGTGCAGATAGCGACATTGACAAAAATATTTGAACTGGTCAAGCTGACTACCTAATGCTGAAGCTACGTGCGAAGTATTCCAACAGTTCGCGCTCCAAACAGATCTGTGAGTGCAGATGACGGCACCGAAGGTTTGACCTCGGTAGGCCTATTAATACATAATGAGATACGTGCACGGTTATCATGGCGTCTCGGGATGATGCACATGTTTTTTTGGCCGTTCGTTGGACACAGCAACGGAACAGTTTTGTTTCTCCGCCCGCTTGACACCGGGGGCAACGTCGCCTCTTGTTTCACCCCAGGTGGGCGCCCACCGCTAGAATCCACCCGCAGTGTTGAGCCTATGCAGCTATGCGAAGGATGGCGCCTTCAATGCCTGTGTCATGCTCCGTTTTAATCACCATACCGTGGTACTTTGTGGACCAAGTGGCAGCTGAGCCTTTGCACAACTTCGAGGTGACAAGACGAACAACACGCTACCATTTTCAACACTCTGAAAAAGTGGACCTCTTTCCTCATACCTCACTGTATTAAATCGCGATACTACTTGTACACATGTCTTGGCGAAGATTAGTTCCGAACAATCTTGGCAAGATAGCTTTAGCTTTCAAAAAGTGCTACCATAAAGATAGGCCTGCTGTAGTGTAGACTATGATTGAACGAAGGAAATCTGGGTTTGTGGCGCGGGATTGAATCGTACAGTGACTCTTCTCCCTTCTTCCCCTCGCTCCTCGACAAGCTTTTGCTTAGACATGGGTTGTAGTGAAGGGGGGGGTCTTTCTGGCGAGCAGGGCTAGACTCACCCTCAAGGGATGACCGAAACCTTCTTGCTGCTGCGCATATCCGCCGCGAGGCATGCGCGTGGTGGTGTAGTTGGGTCG